ATGTGAATCAACCTGAGTGTTTTGAAAAATGTCCAGCAATCTGAATGGGCAGAAAAATGGGCATATACAACATCCTTTGGCAGCAAGTTTATGTTAATGACTGCTATCTACCCAGCCACGAGATATGGGGCAGATCCCAATTCTTGTTCAGTTGAAATCTGGTAAGCATTGGTAGGAAATTCTCATGGAACAATAAGCCTGTCTTGGTTGTCAGACGAATACATAAATATTTAATTTTAGAGGAGGACCAGCAGAATGGAAAGGATTAGTAAATTGGGTAAGAACAGGGAGACATTCAGGTTGTTGGACTTTAACCCCTTAATGCTGTTACGGTGTTCTATGCCATACCGTATTAAATGGACATAAAAGCTTTTGTGATAGCATAGAACGCAATAATGGTTTGCAGCCCTGGTGCCTTCTGATACCCACTTCCCAGTTTAGTGGGACTGCTTGACAATCCAGACAGCCCCTCTGCCGCAAATCCAGTCCTTCCGGGCCATGTAATCGCGGAGACATCACGATCACATGGCTGGAATGGCAGTCTAATTAAAGATAAATGATTAAATTACAATATAAATGTAAAAAGGTAAAATACAAAATACCATAAAACAACAAAAAAAAGTGTATATAGGTAAATGTGTATATGTAGCACTGTACAATGAGTGGACTAACAGAAACGTAATTGTAACCAGACAAATGGAAGCACAATTTTGCCAGGTCCAGCTAGGGTTAACCCATTTCTTTCATAAACATAGCAGTTTCAGAGAAACTGCTATGTTTATGAATGGGTTAAGCCTTCCCCCTAATCCACTAGTGGCTGTCTCATTGACAGCCACTAGAGGCGCTTGCGTGCTACTCACTGTGATTTTCACAGTGAGAGCACACAAGCGTCCATAGGAAAGCATTATGAATGCTTTCCTATGTGACTGGCTGAATGCGCACGCAGCTCTTGCCACGCGTGCGCATTCAGCCGACGAGGAGGATCGGAGGAGAGCTCTCCGCCCAGTGCTAGAAAAAGGTAAGTTTATCCCCTTTTCCCCTTTCCAGAGTCGGGCGGGAGGGGGTCCATGAGGGTGGGGGCACCCTCAGGGCACTATAGTGCCAGGAAAACGAGTATGTTTTTTTTCAATTTTGGGGTAATAGCTTCTTGATCCAAGGATAAATCTGTCTGCCATTCTGGGGGCAAGAAGGATTGTTTTCCTAGTTTGTTGCAAAATTTGAAGTGCTTCAAACTAGGTTTTTTGCCTTTTTTTGGATCAACAACAAAAAAAAAACAGATGTGAGGAAGGCAGAACTTGATGGACACATGTCTCTTTTCAGCCTATGTAATTATGTAACTAGCATCAGTTGATCACGTTTAGCTAAGACCTGCACAGTCAGGATTAGCATGAGACTGAGAGCCAGTAGGTTTCTGTCCAGAGTAGTGCAGGGGCGTTTGGCAGTCCCCAGGTAAGAAGTGAAATTGTTCTAAAATAGTTTGATGGGGAGCACCAAAACACTCCTGGCACCATAACCACTATAGTGTTCCTCTAAGAAATGTATATGGAGATCCAATATTTCAACACAATGTGATGTTTTGTTAAACTAAAAAGGAATATTCCAGGATGTGCACTCCTCTTTAAAGTCTCCCCTTCGATCAGTTAAATGTGAATGTTTCATGTGATTATTGACTCACAAATACACTCAGGTACCCAAATGGATGGATCTAAGGAAAGCTGGTACATGGGGTGGGATCATTTGTAACAGAGGGCACAATTGCATGAAATAAATGTGTGGAATATGTTGAATAATTTTCTGGGTGTAAACCTGAATAATCATCATAGAGTATAAATTGAACTATTATTTATTAAATATACCTTGAAAACAGGAGTGTGAATCCACAATAGCTCCCATCTATCTGATCTAAACAAGACTGGTTGGTAGACATTAGTCATGCTTGAAAAAAATCATTGCATCAGGTTTAATTTCAGCTATTTGATGACAGAGAAACACTTATACAATTAAATAACATAAAATATGAGGACCTTAAATGATTTATGTGCTATATCTCCCTATAACAGCAAAACGTAAACACAAACATGGACTCCAGGTAATTAAAGTTCATTTACAAGCATTATTCTATAATAAGAAAAAATATATATATAACTAAATATTGTCTTCAGTCCTCTGTGTCCTCTTCCTGTTCTTTCTCAAAGATTTTGGCATGGATTAAACATTCGTAACACAAGGTAGAAGAGTTTTAGCTCAATTCTATCATACTGCCCTTCGGCAGCTATTTCTAAAGCAGTAGCCCCTACTTTACTTGCTCCCTCAGGCTCTCCTGTATATGGCTGTAAAATAGTGTGGTTCTAAAACCCCAGAGCACCCTCCCTGTTTTTCCAAGTACTCCTTCTTGAGCCGTTTGCAAGAGTCAAGTATTTTATTGATCTTCTGTGTTTGTGTGTCAGTGAGCTTGTCTATGTGTGCCATTGAGCTTGTACATGCGTGTCAATGAGAGTGTCAGTGAGCTGAGTTTGTGTGTTTGTCAATGAGCTTGTCTATGCATGTTTGCATGAAAAATAAACATATCTATATTGGAATTAAAAAGTGAACATTTAAACACATAAAGCACTACAACATTTCTTCAAAAGAAATCAGCACTTGGACCCTGACACACAGTGTTTTTTCTTGGTAGATTAGCTTTGTGAAGCTAAATTCAAAGGCCAGCACTTATTCAGATCGTCTGCCTTTCATATACCTCAAAAAAACATGCAAAACAAATTGCATGCATGTGTTCTTTGGGAGCATGTATATTAAAGTATTATTATTATTATTTTTTTTCATGGTATGTTCCTTTTGATAATCGTCCATTGTCCCTTACAAGATCAGGTACTAGAACATCTCCTGATTTAGAGTGATGGTGGAAACTTGCACTTCATTAGGTATAATAGTTTTTCTTTTCATGACGTGGAAGAAATGTCCATCCATGTAATAAAATTCAAATGAAAATGATCCAAAAAGACCAAATAAAATCATTGCAACAATCCATTCACATATCGCAGATTCTGATTTCAAGCCAATAGCAAAGAACACAATTACTAATATATTGAATTAAGGAAACATGGAACAAGGCTTGGACAGGTTAATTTTTTTTAAAAAATATCATTGCAATATATTTCAAAGATGCCCGGTTTTAACATTTAAAGGGTTCCTTTACAACAGTAGATATCAGGCATCTCCCCATTACATAAAACATTTAAATTAATCACCTTTTTCCTGGGGCGAGTCCTCTATTACTTACCTTTTTTCCAGTGGCGAGTCCTCTCTCACTGCTGCTCTGCTTTACCTCCAAGAGACTGTCAGTGATTCTGTAAGCATTCTTACAGAATGGTTCTCATAGGGAAGCATTAAACTAATTCCACTTGAATTATTGTTAAAGGGTTGTAAATCAGGAAGCCCTCCTAGCTGCTAGCTTGACTATGGGGGTGGGGGGAATTTCTAAATCAATTTATAAAAGTGAAAATTTATTTTGAAGGAGACAGTTTTATGAAATGGGACAAGAAGGATTTCCTGTCTGTTAACTGCTAAAGTACTTCAGCAGGATAAAGATCTTTAAGATTCTGGTGTGTCCCTTTAATCCCTTCCAAATATTGTAGATCTCCTGACAATTCATGCATTCCCCTCATTAGTAGTAAACCTTTGTGAAGTGATGCAATAAAACGTTGAAGGTAGAAGGGGGTTAGTCAACTGTAGATGAATTATTATTGATGGTCAGTATTCATATCAAGATAAATATTACTCAGTATTTTATTAATGAATTTTCATTAAAGCAGTGTACCAAAAAATGATCTAGCTGAAGTGTGAGTTCTAAGCATTAGGGAAGTTGTTTGGTTTGTCTAATTTCCCCATGTCTGGTCTGTGTTGTGTTCTACATTTTCGCTGACCACAACGTCTCGGATGAGGTTATTCAACAAAGTGTGAATTGTTAGCAGTAGGAAGTGAATGTCAAAATATTTGACAAAATAACCAAACTGGAGCGATTCTCAAAAAGTTAGTTATGTTTTCAGTTTAGGTATGTTGGCATAAAATATTAAAATCACTTTGAATTCCCAGCAATTTAGTGAATAAACTAGCAGAGGGTTATTCACTAAAGTGAGAATAAAAAGTGAATTCAAATTGAATTTCAAAGTTAAGACCAAAATGCTGAAATGGGAAAGTTCTCGAGGTCAGCTATATTTCCTGTATATACATATGTAGTGGTTATGGTGTCAGGAGTACCCTGGCTTCCTCCCACAGCAAGTAGTCAATTCATCTAAGCATGGTTTTTACAACTTATCATGGGTCTGCCAGCCACCCACCGCCTCCTCCTCTGCTCCTGGATTCTCTTACACTGAGCTAAACACAGACGTGCAGGTGCTCATTGGCTGAGAGTACTCAGTAGGCGTTCTCAGACAATGAACTATTCATGCATGGCAGGGCTTAGCTCAGAGGAACTAATGGAAACAATAAGTGAGTCATCCTATGCTTACATCTGTAAAACAAAACAAAAGTGGTGCTTCAGAACAATTTCCAGATACCCTCGTCAGTGGTAATGGCAATTAAAATTAAAGGGACACTATAGTCACCAAAACAACTTTAGCTTAATGAAGCAGTTTTGGTGTATAGAACATGCCCCTGCAGTCTCACTGCTCAATTCTCTGCCATTTAGGAGTTAAATTACTTTTCTGTTTATGCATCCCTAGTCACACCTCTCCTGGAAGTGACACACAGCCTGCATGAAAAAGCGTTAATGCGCATGCGCGGCAAATCCCACACGCTCATTAGATCTCCCTGTATAAAAGCATTGAATCAATGCTTTCCTATGGGGAAAAAAATCTGATGCTTGAGGTCCTCATGCAGAGTGTGAGGACGTCCAGCGTCAGATACCGGACCAAAGGTCCGTTTCGATACAGGAAGCCCTCTAGTGGCTGTCTGGTAGATAGCCACTGTGGGCAGACTTAGTGCTGCAATGTAAACATCACAGTTTTCTGGAACTGCAATGTTTTACATTGCAGCATTAGGTGCAAAAGGGACACAATTAGCTGAAGTGGTCTGGGTGCCTACAGTGTCCTTTTAATTCTGTACTTGTTTACCCTATTGTGTTCCACATAGCCTCTACATACTATCACCTTCTAGATAATTCAGAATGTTAAGGATACTCATGGCAAGCAGTGCAGTGGAAGCAATACACAGACAAAATCTCATGGTTCCAACCATATGTCGAAGAGGCATTGGCTTCAAGTAGTAGGTCAAAACTGTCTGCATCCAGAAGTAGACATTGCCAACAAAAAACGCCAAGAACGCTCCAACTAAATGTACTTGCAGCTGAATAGATTGCTGTGGAACATAACAGATATTGGTTGCATATATATTTTTTTTTAAATAGATAAATAAAACACAAGTTAATGTAATAAAAAGTAAAGACATTTTAAGAAAGGACATGATGAGGAAATGGTGAGAATCTCTGGATTGATGAACGGGGTTGTCTTCTGCATAATATAAGGAAATACAAATGGATACTTACTGATGTGGATTACCAATAATCCCATATATCGAATGTAGGAAGAGTAAAACCAGTAAAGGCAGCTCACTGGTCCCCTACTCAATATATACTTAATCCACCCCCTTGTATATTAAGCAGAGGGGCACATTCACTGTCCCCCAAGATCAGGGGTGCCCAAATGGCACATCCCCAGATTTTTTTAAACTGCAACTTCCATGATGCTTTCTACAACAACTGGGGATCTACCTTTTGGGCACCTCTACCTTAGATAATCTTGGGAACCTCATTTATTTTTTTATTTTTGTATCATCTACACACTAGGTGCATGGGAAAGAGCAACTTGGGGTCTCCTGAACAGCACAGATTATTCTTTTTTTTAATTTAAGGCTTTGATCAGGGTAATCATATTTTGCTGTTTGTTTTTTCTTGCTGTGTTTTTTTCCCCCCATCATGTTGCTGATTCAATGATTATGCTGTTTTTCGCTGTCTCTTTAGGAATCTGTATTCCCAAAAAGCACTAGAAAATGTCTTACAAATACACATAGTCGAAGTTTAAACCATTCATAGTCATTACTTGCTGTCGCAAAAACTGAATATGAAATTGATGTGTTTTTATAATTTCAGAAACTCTCAGAAGAAGCATTTTATACACACTAAACTGTAACTAACACTTGCATATAAACTTAATCATTCATATTGCACACTTGTTATATATAATGTTTAGGAAACTAATCTAGAGTCTTACTTACATAGGTAATTTAATTTTATACTTTTTAACTGTCACTGCAGAATTATTTTTTGAAGGACAAATCATAAAATGTACACATAATACTGATATGTTTTGAAAAAAGTCTCACCTGAAAATTTGCAACAATAGAAGTTCCTAAAGCGGTAAGAAGTCCCATGGCCAAGCTTGCAGAGTTCAAGCGGGAGTGGAAGCCATAGTCTCTGATCTGCTGGAATCTGATCACACAGATCCATGCAGCTAATAAGATAAAAATGAGTAAAAAAAATAGCTTCATTTTACCATAGCTACTGAGATTATTTGCTTCATTTTACCATAGCTACTGAGATTATTTGCTGAAGCCCAGGGCATCTCCTTAGCAATATGAAAGTAAAAAAGAGAAACTTAACGTCTGTCCATGTCATTACCACATAATATTAAACATATCAAAAAAGATCACAGTAAAGAAACATCAATTAAATGCAATTAAGCAACAAACTATAATATGCTGACACAACTTGGGTGAGAAACATGTCGTAAATAAAAAAGAAAGATCACTAGTATTATGCTCCGCACGGCTACAAAGAGGGAAGGGGTCAGCACCCCTTCCCTCTTTGTAGCCGTGCGGAGCATAATACTAGTCAGGTAACGGTCAGGAGGAAATGCTGGGGAATATATCTTTGCTGCACATCCTTTTATTAGAATGAGGAAAATGAATTCCAGAAGGGAGATCCTCTATCTGGTAAAGAAACTATCACAGTTAAAATTAGTATGCTCCTAATGGACTGAAATGAACTATAGGAAGAGTGATTACAGTAGCAAAAGGAATTATTATTATTATTATTATTATTGCCATTTATATAGCGCCAACAGATTCCGTAGTGCTTTACAATATTATGAGAGGGGGGATGTAACTATAAATAGGACAATCACAAGAAAACTTACAGGAACAATAGGTTGAAGAGGACCCTGCTCAAACGAGCTTACAGTCCATAGAATTAATCTAATAGTTACTATGTAAACTCCAGGCTGTATTAATCATTGCCCATCGCACATTGAAACAATGTTAAGTAGAAAAGAATGTGTGACAGAACGGTAAGTAACAAAATAGGGATATATGAGATTGCTACTGGTTACAACACGATGTAGAAGGAAATAATGAAGATGCTGTAGTCTCCCAAAAACACCTGTACCTAACTATAGCATAATGGTACTGTTTATATCAATGTTTATATCAATGTACATTGCGGCTACTCCAAATTCGCTCAATCATATGGGATATGTACTGCATTCTGAAAAAAGGTCTGTTAAAAAAGGCAGAAGTCCTAATTAAGTGGTCACTAATGCCTATTCCCAATGTAGGTAAACAACAAAGCCTACGAGGCCTAGACAGGCAAAAACGAATCTTGAGAGCTGAGTATCTAGGTTGTTGCAAGTGGTGCAATAGCCTATTACCATCCTGTGCTATGCTACACGTGATCACGTGTTTACATCAGTAAACTAAATCGGCACTCTAAAGTGCTTAAAAAGTGAAAGTGAAAAATAAAAACCGGTATACTACAAATAGGCCAGGTTTTTTTACTTTTTTCTGGAGATCCTGGAGAAGTATGCATGTTGCATGCTGTTCATGAATAGAGATGAACTCAGCTTAGTATAACTGTCTTAAAGTATTGGATTATCCAAACAAATATCACTTACCTAACATTGCTCCTACATTAAGAACCTGGGAAAATATGCAACTTTGGGGTGGGTAAGCTCCACACGTGCTGCCCAAAAGAATATTATTAAATTATTCTCTGCTCACAAATAATTCAACATAAATCAGACATAAAATCAAGCATTTGAAAAATACAGGGAGGAGGCAAAAAGATTAATAGAATGGGGTATTTGAGATCAGTGAAATTGGAGCCAATATTTTATTAGCTTTACTACAGATGTCTCAGTTAATTAAAATAAGACATCTCGGGATTAGTAAATATATCCACAAATCCTGGACAGCTAAGGGTAAAGGAAGCTCATTTCTAAATCAGTATTGTCCATCCATCTATTAAAATAAAAATATAGCAGAGGTTTTGTTTTTCTGACTGAATAATATTAAATTATTGATGCCATTTAGAAAAACATATGATTTTCTTTGTAAGTTTGCTCTGTATACATAATTTGCTCATATTGGACCAATCCCATCTCATCTGAGCTGTACTTTCTTCTCTTTGTGTGTCTCAACATTTTTTTCATATACTGGTAAAGTATTGCCGGAAATGATTGCACTATATAAATCCTAATAACAGTAACAATAAGAATTGATTAGTTACGAGTTCTACCTAGTAGTAGTTGTCTACATTAAGTTTCCATATAATATGTGCTACTGTGTTTAAAATGAATTAGTGCTACGTGTGGTGTATATCTCCACTTTTGGTTATGCCATGTGCCTCCATGGTGTACATACACTCTAGCTGTGTACATTGAGACATGGACTGCGTTGGTTGGCTGAGGGTGTCGGAAACGGGTTTGGCCACTACTCTCCTACTATTTACCATTTTTTTTACTCTCATACTATCAATGGGCACAAGTTGACAATGACAATGCAAAAGAAGCACTGCTAAAATAATACTGCTACCCCTATAACAATTTAACTGGGCACTGGTGATTAGAGGAGTTCGTCATCCGATACTTTCATCCTATAACTTGCCAACAATTAAGAGTAAAAGTATGAACTATTACGCTACCCTTTTGGCCTATCACTGGTCACCCAGCAAACCTTCCAGAGCTGTCGGGCACCAGGGGACCAACTTCAGGGTTAAACCATACGCAAACAGTGTAATCCGTTAAGGTAAGATGGCACCCATACACTCCTTCCCCCAAAATAACTTCATTGACATTAATATGTATTGTGGGTGGGTGCTTTCAAAACAGCTGAGGATGGTAAAGTTTCTGAGTGCTGAGAAAATTGTTTGACATTAAACCAGGGCAATCTAGGCAATAGAACAACTACAGTGAACTGCTGTGATTATGTTGCTTAGAGTACCCATTTAACAGCCATGTAATTGGTAAGCTAATAATGTTAATTTGGTTAATTAAACATTCTCACCTGATATAAGGAAACCCATCTGCAATATTCACTGAGCCATTGTTCACAGCCATTACATATCTGGAGAAAAACAGCAAGACGAAGCAAAAGAAAATATATCTGATATAGACTTAATATTATAAAAATCTACATACGTAGACATCACCCCCAACCATCTCACACCTGAGTTTCTCAGGAGGAATATCATATCAAATTACACAGCTAAACAGTATTATACTTCTTGAAGGCCAGCATTGCAATATATTGTACAATTAGTTACAATTACCTGTTCTGTGATAAAACATAGTAACTGTAAAAGTCAAGTAAGAATTTATGTGGTTTAAGACAAAGTTGAGATACTAAAAATTAGAAACAAGAACATATAGGTTCTCAGTCTGTCTCAGTGGAATATCATTTAAAGAAACACTATAGGGTCAGGAATACAAATGTGTATACCAGACCCTATAATGTTAAAAACACTATTTAGGTGACTGACCCCCTTATCCACCTTAAATAAATTAAAACTCACCTGGCTCCACCTCTATCCGCCTCCTAGACTGAAATCATTAGAATTTACAATCTCAGCTAATCCAATGCTTTCCTATAGGAAAGCATTGGATTAGCTGGGATCATCAATTCTGAAAGCGTTGGATTACTGAGATTGTCAATTCTTATGATTTCAGCAAGGGGGTGGGATGTGTGTGGAGCCAAATGCCGCCCTGGCCAATCAGCATCTCCTCATAGAGATACCATGAATCATGCATATCTATGGGGAAATGCAGAGTGTGGAGATGCTGAAACTGCAGCACTGACCCAGAAAGCACCTCTAGTGGCTGTCTGAGTGACTGCCACTGGAGGTGTCCCTAGGCAGCAATGTAAACACTGCTTTAGAAAAAAAAAAAGCCTGCCTGGACATACTATACTCACCAAAACAACTACATTAAGATGCAGTTGTTCTGGTGATTATCATGTCCCTTCAAAAATAAACTTGATTTAGCAATAATGAAAGGGAAGCTAGGCTCCAACACCACATTCGCGAGCCAAATGTACTTTATAGATTTGTGAATTTGGTGATTGTGTATTTAGATGGTTGGAATGGTATATAGTCATTCAGATTTAACAATAATTATATTGACATTGTCTGGAGAAGGATTAATGTCCTTTTACTTATAGAAGTCAGGGTTTTAATATAATGTTTATAAAGAAATGTGACTGGTCCACTTTATTGTGTACATACAGACCAGCATTGCTTTCTAATTTTCTAAAAAAAAATGAAAATAGATGTAGCAGATTTAAAGGTACCCTACAGGTATCAAAACAGCTTTAGCTTAAAGGGCTTTTACTCATTTTACTCACCTGGTTCCAGCGCCAGGAGCCTCGTGAAGCCGCGCCCCCTATTTCGTCAAAATGCCGAAATAGGTGGGCGCGAGCAGGGAGCAATCAGACGCTTCCCTTGTGTGCGCGGTGTGCGCGGCCGCGATCTGAGCTGACTGACAGCTCAGCTCGCGGTCTTTGCCCGACCCCTCTCCTCCGCTGACAGGCAGGAGAGAGAAGGTGCACACACAGTGCCTTCTCTCTCCTGCACATGTCAGATGTATTTACATTAGATTGCCTGCAGGGAACTAAAGATCTCACCTGAACAAATACAATAAGTAGTTGTTCAGGTGACTATAGTGTCCCTTTAATGAAGCAGTTTTTGTGTATAGATCATGCCACTGCAGTCTCACTGCTCAATTCTCAATTTAGCAGTTAAAACACTTTTGTTTCTGTCCATGCAGTCCTAGCCACACCTCATCTGGCTGTGACTCACACATTCTGCATGAAAAAATGGTTTCATGTTCAATTTGATGTTAACTTGCTTTATAAGTTTTTAGCTCATGCTCTGTTAATTGAACTTTAATCAAACACAGGAGGGTCCTGCAGGGTTTAGAAGTATATTAACATAGCAGGAGATAAAGTCAACATTAAGCAGAATGTGCAATATAGGAAGTTTAAACATTAGATCTCTCTTTACAGGAAGTGTTTAGGAAGGCTGTGCAAATCACATGCAGGGAGGTGTGGCTAGAGCTGTAAAAACAACGTGATTTAACTTCTAAATGGCAGAGAATTGAGCAGTGAGACTACAGGGGCATGAACTATACACTAAAACATGGTTCGTTTAGCTGAAGTTGTTTTGGTGCCTATAGTGTCCCTTTAGGAGATTAAGAAGTATATACATTGTATATAAGCATTAGTAGTTTGAATCAGAGGGAAAATACATAGATACTTACACTATCCATGTTCCAACTGTGGCCCAAATGGCCAGGAAAATAGGAAGAAGAGCCCATGCCCACATAATGGAAAATCTGAATATTGTGAAATACAAAGTTGCAGTTAATGCAATGTCTATAGTTCGAGACATATTTGAGAATACAAGTATAGTAAACGCTATGAACACATGTATGTTGGAGGAAGGGATAGTTTATGATATCATTGCTTAGGTGCAGCCTTATAAATTAACAAGTATAATCTCAGGCTCTCTGTACAAACAAACAACAGCAGTAAATATCAAGTCTAGTTGATGCCCAATTTTGCTGAAGATGGAATTACACCTTTGGCAGCAAAAGGGTTAAACTCTGTAGATGCAGGTTTCATAGCAAAACACTGCACATACAGACTTCAAGCACAAAGACAACTTCATATGACTGAAGTAATAAACTATGAGATCAAAGGACATACATACATATAGATTACTCTATGTGAGTCTGTGCATGTGTGCAATATATGGGAAGGCGGAGCCTGTAGTTGTGGGAGGGGTTTCAACCGTCCTATATAAACCCTCAACTTACCTCCATACCTTGCTGACAGCGTGTGGTTACTGTTTGAGTGACGGTTGCCATGACAACCAGCACTTCCGGTTTTCGGACCCCTGTTTGCTCCAGAAGCAGCCACGGACTCGTCTCCAGCCTCTGACCCGGCTTACAGCTCACCTAACCCAGCTCGCAGCTTCATTTGGGGCTCCATTAATTTGCAGAACTTTCCCGTTCCTTGTACCGGCTTCCGGCCGCACAATCACATATGTACATGTGGGAACCCGTTCATGGCGTTCCCACGTTCGGGCCTAACAAATGCAGGGATTGGCTCCCACCGTTTAGCGTTATTATGCTGTTTGGCTAACTCCGTTAGTTTACTTTGCTTTAGTTAATCCATACGAATGGCGTTCGTTTAAACTTTGCAGTTACATCATATGGTTCAGACCTATCATTTTGGTTAAATCAAGTCGCATGAACTAGTTCGTGTATATCATTTCGTTACAGCAGTCGTATAAAACTTGTCATGTAAATCTAGTCATGTAACCCCTTTCGTGCATACGTATTCGTCTTTATCCATTTCGTTTAATAAGTCATTTCGTTTAAAAGTCTTTTCGTGTAAAAGTAATTTAGTTTAAAGTCATTTCGTTAAGAGGCTTTCGTTTAATAGACGGGTCGTTAAAAGTCATGTCAGTTAAAAAGTCATTGTGTGTATAAGTCATTTTGTTTATAAGTTACTTTGGTTAAAAGCCATTTTGTTTAAAAGTCATTTGTGGGAAAGTCATTTAGTTTAAAAGGCATTATGTCTAATAGTCATTTTGTTTAAAAGTCATTTTGTTTTAAAGTCATTTTGTTTAAAGCCTTTCGTTAAATACTGCTCATTAGAGTTATCAGCTTAACCAGGGGTATCTATTCCTCTGTCCCATACACTCAGTGATTTTGGTTGTTAAAGCCACACGGTTGCACTATATCATTCATACGTTAGCTACATCATATGACCTTTAAAACCTTAAAGAGGCACGTATAAAATATATGTTCAGCATGTTGTAATATAACAAGGTCTTACTTAAATTATGTTATTGACTGCACTTACGGGTATGTAGAACATCAAATATATAGTTAGGAAAGTAAGTTAAACAGTATGGTCATGTCCTTGCAGGAATTCAGATTTTGCTCTCAAATACAGCAGACAAGCGTCCCAGCACAAGGGATTGTCGGTAAAACTTGGTAGGTTATGCATAGGCTATCTCAGGCGGTTTGGCACAACAAGCATTCTGACCTAGTAAAGAACCCAATAATCAAACAAATAGACACCCATAGCCCAAATGAGAATTTACATGTGTATTATCATGTCCCTGTAGGTAATTTCATCCCCAAGGCGAAATCAGCCCATACACTTCGGCAGTTAATTATACAGCACTGCATAATCTTTTATTCAAAAAGAATTAAACAGACCCAAACGCTTAGTTCTCTAACCAGGTAATAATAAAAAAAAAATAATAATAGTTATATATGTAAGGGGATTATTTTCTATTGGAATGTATACAAAAAAAAAAATATATATATATATATATTTTTTTAATTCCTTTCATCATAGGCCAAGCAAACTAAGCATATACCTGTACAACAACACACCTAAAGACATACTCGTCAGGTATGTATCGCATTCATACGATACGACTCAGGCACGGGAAATAACTGTCAGGGATATGAATTGCACCACGTAAGATAAGCGTGTAACATTTCCCAGAAGATCGCCAACCATCCTCTACGTAGAGGTATTCACCCACTGGTCCAACTCATAGTTAAATTTCATGGTACTCTACCAGAGTACAGAGAGGGCCTCACCAGTCATGTCCAGTACAATTACCAAAAAAACCAAAACAGAGGCCCATCTACCCATCACAACGCTTTGGTGGCTCAGACATACGTCCAACGCATAGATAGAGCCTCTATCAGTCAATTGACTAGTAACAGGGCCTCACCCGCCATCTTTATCTACTATAAGTCACTAACAATTCACTACAAACTTTTGTCATTCTGTGTAGCATGTCTCACGCCTCCAACATTGGAGAAGACATCTCCCCACCAAGCACACCCGCTAAGCCTCCCACCCCAAAGATGGCCCCAGCAACAGGAGAAAATCAAGACAGCCCCTGTTCATTGAGGTCATGGACAATTCCAAAAATAGCGGCTGAACTAAGACGCAGGGGGGTACCATATCTGGCCATGGCAAGGAAAGCAGATTTGTACAGGATTATGATGACAAACTTCGCTAACCCTCAACCAGGA